AGAAGATATTCATGATTGGGTTCAGAAAGCACATAGAAGACACATATTCTGGTGAGCTGGGGGATTGGGAGCCATCACTCTCCAGTTTGACTCACTACCTGGTAAGCAGGCAACATTGAGGCCATGGGCCCTGAGGGAGATGTCTCTGATCCTGAGGACCAGAGTTTCTTTCAGGACCTCCGAGTTTATGGTTCTTTACTCTCACTAAGCAGATATTAATAAGGAGGCACTTGTCTCTCTCCTTTTTCCATACTACCCAGCTTTCCTACCTAAATCCTTCCTCAGCCACAAAACCAGCACAGGGGGAATGGAGGGAGCTTTACTTTATTGCAGGCAGTGAATATAAGTGTGTGTGTCTGTGTCTGTGTATGTGTATATACATGTATGTATGTGTATATATGTATACACACACACACATATATATGGATCTTAAAGACCATGGACAGTTGTCTATTTTCCATTATTTCTCTGAGTTCACAGTTGGATTCAATGGGGTATGATGAAGAGAAGTCAAAGGACCTAGGTTCAAATTCTAGTTCTTCTACCCCTCTACCTCTATGACTTTGGGCAAGTCACTTCATCTTGTCAGTACAAGCTATTCTGGGTGATTTACTAACGCCATAGATGGTCTTCTCTGGGATGAGCAGTTTTCATCCATTTATTTGCCATGAAAATCTTCCTGGGTGAGAACTTGGTTTTTCACAGTATATTTTATTCTATGGAAGAGAAACAGGGATATTTAGGTGGGAGAAGAGTAGATCAGGAGTGACTTTCCTGGAACTAAGGGTTCTCAAGTGGAAGAGGGATTAAAGTGGCCCGGCTTGGCCCCAGCTGGCAAAGCCAGAATCAATAGATCTGCGTTTCACTGATTGAGGACTTGATATAAGGAAGAATTTCCTAACCATGGCAGCCATCCCCATGGAAGGGACTAGCTGATCGCAAATTACTGGAAGCCTCCAAGCAAAGGCTGCATGGTGGCTGGTCACATATATTCTAGAGATGATTCTGGTCTGGATAGAGTTTGGGCTAGATCAATCAAAAAGCATTATATAACTTCAGTTATTCTGTTCCTCAATTTCCCTGTCTGTAAAATGAGGTTGGACTGCATGATCCCTTCCAGTTTTAAGTGCTTTTTTCCTATGATCTTTGCCTAATCTGTCCAGCTTCCCCCCTTATGTTGATTAGGCCAATTCTAAATTCTAAAATTTCCCCTATGGGCATTCCAAAATATCTCATGACTGTCTACCACTGGAACCTGGGTCACACAGCCATGACCTTTAGACATAAGCTAAATTAGGAAGTTATAGGTTGTTAAAACTATGATTTATTAGAGTCCAGCCATTTAATTTTATAAATGAAGAAACTGCATCACAAAAAGTCACATAGCTTAGTTCTCTGAATATGCTATATCCTCCATTTTATTAAAAACCTTAAGTACTATTCATCCTTAGCCCACATGGACATTTTTAAAATAATATTTTCTTTTTCCCTCAATTACATGTCAAAACAATTTTTTAACATTTTTAAAAAAGTTTTGAGTTCCAAATTCTATCCTTCTCTCCTCCATCACCTCCCCCATCCCTGAGACAGTAAGCAATCCTATATAGGTTATACAACCACATGTACATTTTAAAATACAGATGGTAAGAATTAGAGACTGCTTTGGAGTGAAAAGGCCCTTTTCTACCCTGTTTGCCTTCTTCTGACCAATATTCAGTTCACTGATGTCCTTCCTAAACTCTGGTACCCAGAACTGAGCATATAGCTTCAGGTGTGGCCTAGTCAGGGAAGAGAGTGGTGGGGCTCTCACCTCTCAGTTCTTGCCTGCTACGTCTCTCTCCATGCAGTCTAAGATCAAATTACCTTTCTGGGTTACCATAAAGTATTCCCTCAAATATCCCCCTCCAATATTTTTAGCGGTGGTAAGACTTCATCCTTGGGTATGGATTTGATTTTTGGAAGTAGCCAAAAATGTGGTGAAAAAGACAGATGATGAAACTGAATCTAATTTTTCATTTTAAAAAATGAGGTCATTTTCTTATGTGACTCATAAACTGCCTTGGAAATCCACCCCTTTGTTTTACAGAGAAGGAAATTCTGGCTCTGAAACTAGGTGAAGAAAAAAGGAGAAAATCTGTAGGACTTAGTCGTTAGAATTAGAAAGCACCCAGGACCATTTTAAGGGGTAGCATATGTGCATAGCCTCCTACATTTCTGGCTTTAAAAATAACTGGTATTTATAGCACTTTAAAGTTTATAAATGTATATCTACATTCTAATGAATGTAGTCTCATTTAATCTTTACAACAACCCTGTTGCAGGTATTATGCCCATTTTACAGATGGACACAATTTACAGCCTTAGGAAACTGAGGCTGAGAGAGGTTGCAGTGTCTCAGATGGGTTTTGGACTCAGGTGTTCTTGACTACCAGTTCGGTGCCTTATCTACTAGTTATTTAGTCTTTTTTTTTTTTTTTCCAGTTATGTCCAACTCTTTATGACCTCATTTAGGGTTTTCTTGACAAAGATACTGGAGTGTTTTGCCATTTTCTTCTCCAGTTCATTTTCCAGATGAGGAAACAGGCAAACAGGGTTCAGTGACTTGCCCAGAGTCACACAGCCGTTAGATGTCTGAGGCTGGATTTGAACTCAGGAAGAAAAGTCTTTGAAGAGAGTGAATATATCCACAGGAATATTTGCATCAACCTACCCATGCTTAACACCACTCTTAACAGAATATTGTGCTGTGATCTCTGAAGGAAATAAGTGTCATTGACCTGAAAGAGTATGGGACCTTAAATTAATGTTTGACTGTCCCAAGTCATTGGATCATAGAACATCTGAGCTAGAGGGAACCTTAGACATCCTTCACTTTACAGATGGGGAAATTGCCTCAGAAAACTTAAATGACTTTTCCAAGGATACTGTATCAGCTTGCCTGGGTCTAAGTCTCTCCATTTATAAGAGGGGGATGGGTCAGATGAACCCCAGGGTCTTTTGTGTGCCTAGATATCACAGTCCTATCTACAAAGAGATAACCTGCAGACTTCCAGTTCCTGGCTAAACATACTTACTCTTCCACATGGCAAGTCTGGCATTCTAATGATGACTAATACATTCTAAAATGCCGTATTTTGACATTCTCCGGTACCGTTTATCAGGAAACCACACAGGAATTTAAAAAAGGAAGCCAAGGGTGACAAGCTTCCAACAGTCAAATGCATTCCATGGCAATGGGGAACTGGTTTGGTTTTGTGTACTTTGGGGTGATGCACTGGAAAGAGTTGGAGGACCTGGGGAGGCTGAATGCGGGTGAGAGCCCATTTACCATCTGTGTGACCTTGGACAAGTCACAACCTCTCTGGAGCTCAGTTTCCTCATCTGTAAAATGAGAAAGCCAGAGTAGGAGATCTCTAAGATCCTTCCCAACGTTATATCTATGAGTCTAAGATAACTTTATGAATGCTAACAGCTGGTCTCCTCCAGCTATTTCCTGGTCTCTTTCCCCGGTGCTCTCAGGCTTTGGGATAAAAGATTGGCTATGATCCCCCCATCAATGTCATGGAAATGGTATGTGAGGCATTGGGGATCAGTCCCTCCAAGTATGCAGATCGCATTCCTTCCGAGCCGGGCTCTTTCCTCCATGCCCTCTAGTAAACCCTTCAAAGGGAGGGTCTGCCCTGGACTGGGGCGAGTCGAGGGGTTAGGTAACACAGAGAAAACAAAGGAAAGGCTGAGTTTCTTTTCTTTTTTTTTTAACCCATGCTTTCTGTCAAAATTGAAAACGGGTTTTCGGGGCAAGCGGCTTTTGGCATTTCCAAACGAGGAACAGAACACCAAATTGTCATTTAGTCCATCTGCCAGCTTGGCCTTTCCTTCCAGATGTTTTTTTTCCTCCTTCACCAACCACGTGCAAGGTTCCCTGAGGGTGTCAGGCCGTCCTTGGCAGGCGATCACAGGGTTTTAGGCTTAAGTGGTGCCTCTCCCTCTAAGTTAGCCCCACAGCCTCGGCCTGCGTCCAACCTACTCGAGGGAAACTCTTTATCCAAAGGGTAGCTAGCGCCGAAGAGGCGGGCGAGGCACTTCAGAGCAGAAAGGCCAGCTGCTTTCTGCCAGGTCACGGCGACTAGGGTCAAACCGACGGCCCCCAGCCACGAGCATCCCGAGTGGGCCGTCGGGTTTTCCACCCAGCAGTTACTGAAGACCCAGCCCCGGGGCTACATGCGTGCCCAGAGGCCAAGGGAAAGCCTGCAACCCAGTTCCAGGAGGGTGACTGGATGCCCGAACCCCTCTCGCTCTCAAGCCCTTCCCTTTGTTCTGAGGGTATGGGTGAACTATGGCAAGTGTAGGAGAAAACTGGGAAGAGAAATGCTGGAGTGGGATGTGGAGGCAGGGTCGGGGGCGTCTGAGGCTCAGTTTCATGGGTTCTAACAGCTTTTATTCCTCGGGGGAGATCAAGGGTCTTCCCCAATCCACATCTATCCAAGAAGATGCTCAAATCGAGGAATACGGTCAGGAGGTAGTGAGGCCCAAGGGGCAGAGGCTGGGCATCGGGCCCTTGATCCACCTCCACCCCCACCCCCCACCGTCACCGCGTGAGCCACCCTCGGGGAGCATCCCAAGAAAGGAAACACCCCAGCCAACCGGGCCGCCGGCCAGCCCCACCTCCCTTTGCAACCACTTCCTCCCAGGCCCTGGCAGACGGTTGGAAAACCCCGCGCTTTTCGAGGCTGCCAAGCCGCCAGGGGTGGGGGTGGGAGGTCCGGCTATCCGGGAACACTTGCAGAGGCTGGAGAGGAGCAAGAACCCAGCGGTTGGAAATAGGCAGAGAGCCAGGAAGGCAGCACAGCCCCCTCCTACGAAGGTGGGGGTGGGCGGGCTGGAAGAACGGGAGGCGGGGTCGGGGGCGGGGAGAGGGTGGTGCACGTAGCGGGCCAGGCACACTGCAGAGCACTGGGCTCGTCCCCCTTCCCCCTCCCCCTCCCTGGCCAGTCCCCTACCTGCAACCCCACCAGCACGGCCACGAAGCGCCTCTGGCAGCTCCCGAACTCGCCCACGGCGCAGAAAGCCCTGTCGAGCTCCATGGCCCGCCGGGCCAGGACGGCGCGTACAGCTGTGGCGGGCTGGGCTGGGCTGGAGGCAGCGGGGCCGGGAGGGGAGAGGACTGGAGGAGAAGAGAGGGGAGGGGAGGAGGGCGGAGGCGCCCTCCTTTGGTGCTAAGTGGGTGGGAGGAGGAGGTGGAGTCCCACGCCCCCCTCACCACCACTATCCACCCCCCTTCTCAAGCTCTGCGGGCTCCCAGGGGCCTCCCGAACTCCGCCCAGCCCAGGACTGCTGCTGCGGCCAGATGGGACTGCTGTGGGGCCAGATGTGTGCGGCTTCTCCTTTCCTCTCCGCCCTTGGCTCAGTGCAGCCTTAGACTGGGGGGGCCCGGGGGAGGCGGGGGGAGAAGGAGAGGGAGGGATAGGGTGTTTTCCCTAGGAAAAAGAAAGCCGCCACCACCCAAACTCCCACACCACCTCATCCCACGCGCCCAAGGCCCAGTCAGGGAGTTTCCATTCTGGCCTCCTTCAGCGTCTAGTGGCGTGGGAGACTTTGCTCAGGGCACGGGCTAGAGAATCTTTCTGTTTTGGCTGACCAAGTATCATAGTGGAAAGAGCTTTGGATCTGGAACTGAAGGATCTGGGTCTGAGTCGTCCCCACCCCCTCCTCGGAGTTGTATAATTAGGCAAAGTCTCGGAACTTCTCTGGGCCTCGTCTAAGAAATGACTGGGGTGGTGAAGACTAGATAGATGCTTTCTTATGGTCCCTTCCATCTTTTAAATCTGTGAACTGTCCATGGTGACAAGCTCAGGGACAAGTGACTATCTCTGATCCCCCCCCCCACACACACACCACCTGCACCCCAGTGTCTGGAAAGTCAGCTGGAGGTAGCCAGGAGGATTTCCTGGGCCGTTTGGGTCTGTGAGAGGAAAGCCAAGTATAGCCGCAACAACAAAAACCCCCAGAGGCCGTGATTAGATGCCAGCAGCTCTGTGACCTCATTTCTAAATGGCTGGAGATGGAGCCGGGATGCCCAGCCAGCAGACCCCAGATTAAGTCGGGCATCTGAGATTTCATTCATGGCTCCTTTCCACCAGTTATCTGTCCTGCGTTTGGAGTTAGAGGTTATTTCCTCCCCCCCTTCCCCACCACCTCCACCCAGATACACAGAAGCAGCTCTGTCCTGGGGCAAAGCCAACTGTACCCTGTGACTCAGCTCCCTTGGAATGTGACTGGAGTAATAGTGGCTGTTTGCAAGGTGTTTTTCTTTTCGTTTTGTTTCATTTGCACTGGAAATGAGAACTCACCTACGTCTCTTCTGGCTGTTAGGGAGCTACACAGCCTCAGGTTAACATTTGACATCCTTAAGGGGCACCATTGCCTCTGAAGTTGGAGTTTTGTAAGCTTCAACAGAAACATTTTGGATTGGAAAGCAAATGCTAAGCATCTGGCTTGAATTAACCAAAGAAATTGAGCATCCCTGCCCAATCACCCCTCCTGAACTCCATCTACTCCCTGGCAGTTCTGATGGATCTGACCCACATTTTCACAGTTCTCATGGCTAGTTAATAGCATGTGTTTGACAGATGGGATCTCCGACTCTCCTCTCTGTGGCTAGTGCCCTACAACGATTACTCTTTTATTGACATTGGAACTCAAACTTCGTTTTCTGTAGGGGTGGACATGTTTAAGAAGTTACAAGAGTATGTGATAACAGGCTTCTAGAAAATAAAGGGGCTGACCTGTTCAACCCCAGTGAAAAAGTAAAGGGCAACCTGTGGGTAAGAGCGTATACAGAATCTCCAAGCCTTCCTTTCCCTTAGTTTCTAGTTCCCTACTCAAAACAGAATTCCAAAGACAAACATCCCTGAAAGGGCTGGCTGGCCAGGTCTCCGGAGGTAATGTGAACCAAGAATTCCAGTCACAGGGTAAGTAACCTTGTTTTCTCCTTCATCAGGGCCTCTGTAAAACTCTCCTCTTGGAGGCTGGCCAACAGTCTGTCTGGTGGAGGGTACTGCTAATTAGAGAGAGCCCATAAACCTTGCTTGTCAGGGAGGGCATGTGACCTTTCCTGCAAGTCTAAACAACAACCCCAGCAAATTATACCGACTGAACTCATCCCTGGCTAGCTTGTGGATTCTTGAAGTAAGCACATAGGGAAGGAGAGGTTACCATAGCTCTACTCTCAGACTTTCAGGAATGGTCCACTCCCTCTTCCCCATAACATGTTTCAATTACTCTGTACAATTCATTTAGAGAGGTAGCCACCGGGCAAAGACAGAGACTGCTGGATGCAGCTTGGCTTTCCTTTAGGTAGTTGGGTCAGATGTCAACCTGACCTTGGATGACCCCTCTCTGCGTCTTTCATGATGGACCTTTCTTGCTGGAAATTCCAGGCTCAGCCTTTTCCATGATTTGGCTGAGAAGGCTTTTGTATGGCGGTCAAAGACAGGCAAACAGATTTCTCCTTGTGTGTGTCTGGTCTGCAGCCTCTAATTTTAGAATGTAAAATCTTTAAGCATAGGGACCATTACCTATTGCAGACCACTTAATCAACCTGAAATAAGAGTGTAATAAAAAAGGGAAATTTCTGCTCCCCTTTCACTTATCTGCATCTTCCCTTCTGATGCATATGGGATAGCTAGGCGGTTCAGTGGATGGAGTGTCAAGTCTGGAGTCAGGAAGACTCATCTCCCTGAGTTCAACTCTGGCCTGGGATTCTTGCTAGCTATGTGATCCTGGGCAAGTCACTTAACTCTGTTTGCCTCAGTTGCCTCATCTGAAAAATGAGCTGGAGAAGGAAATGGCAAACCACTTCAGTAGCTTGCCAAGAAAACCCCAAATGGGGTCATGAAGAGTCAGACAAAATTGAATAACAACAAAACTCTGATGCATGGATCATAGATTTTAGAGCAGGAAGGGACCATGGAGTCTGCTCCCAAGCCCACATTGTACACATGAGGAAACTGAAGGCCAGAGAGGGAAACTGGCTTGCTTGAGGTCATACAGCTTATAAATGTTTGAGGCAGGACATGAACCCAGGTCTTCCTGACTCCCAAGCCCAATGTAAGTCATGATTCATCTTCTCAGTCCTCCCTTCTCAGACTAACTTTAACATCTTGTTCTCAGCTTGCTATTCCTTTTCACACTTCACACTTGAAAAAAGAAGTACATTCCCATATTTGTGAACCTTAACTGCTAGTATTATAAATTTACTCTACTTCAAAAACAAATTCACCAGGGGCAGCTAGGTGGCGCAGTGGATAGAGCACTGACCCTGGATTCAGGAAGACCTGAGTTCAAATGCGGCCTCAGACACATAAAACTTACTAGCTGTGTGACCCTGGGCAAGTCACTTAACCCCATTGCCTATGTGTGTGTGTATATATATATATATGTAAATGGAAACTAAAAGGATTGAAAGACACTATTTGAATGGAGAAAACAGTCTAACAAATGCTGGGGAAAGAGACCAGCAAGGGAGAGCTGAGGCCATCCTGAGTCAGCCTTCCCCCTCCTCAGCTACAGCCTCCCTTTAAATATCCCGTTCTCACCTTCCTGCTTGCCTTAGCTAGTAACTGAGCCTCCCCTTCCCTACTCCTGAGGGCAGCCTTTGATGCCTACTTCACTGAGGAAGCTGCTCCAGCCAGACCGTTTCTTTCACCAATTGGAAACAAGAGAAAACAACCCCTAAACTTTCTCTTCATTTTCAAATTTTGACTTTCTTGACTTGTGAGGAACTGGACAGTATCTGCTCATAGCTATTCAAGTGTTAAAGGATGCTGTGACCTCAGCGCTGAAGAGGGATGGGATTGAAGAGATATAGAGGATGTTTCTTCCTTTGCCAAAGAAGCTAAAACTGCCTGGATATGCTCACCTTAACCACAAAATTTATTTGACCTCCCACTTACATGGCTAGGTCTTGTACGAACATAGTCATTTGCATGTTGTCTTCCCCATTAGAATGGGAGCTCCTGGAGGGCAGGAGGGCTCCCTCCCTCTTTTTGCCTGTTTTTCTATCCTTAGCACAGTTCTTGGCACATAGTTATTTTAATGGACTGAGCTAATTAAAAACCAGTTTTATTCCACTTCAAGATGTTAAATGGATGCTTTATAATTCTGAATGAACTAGAATTAAACACAAGTACTAGAAAGTACTACAAAGTACCTGTGTCAGACTAAAGTGGACCAAGCTGCCTTTAAAGTCAGGAGTGCCATTTTAAATCTTGTCATTGACATATGCTAGCTGGCTGACATTGGTCCTCAGCACCCAGGCAACTCTGTAAGACTAAATTACCGAGGCACTCCATTGCTGTTCTATATTAGCAGAAGGAAGCTTCTTTCCAGTCAGCTCTCCTCACTGATGAAATCACAGGTCTGGAAAGTAAAAATATAACTGCATTTCTCATGCTTCTATGTTATAAATAAATAAATAAAAATACTCAGTATCATAGCTAAAATTTGGCTTTACTAAGTCTGAAGTTCATAAATTTAGAGCTGGAAAAGACCATAGAACCTGAGTTCAACTTCCACTCCTTATTTTACAGATGAAGAAACTGAGACCTGAAGTGATTTGTCAAAGGTCCCTGCAGGCATTCATTTAGTGACAGAAAAGTTACAAAACATCTTAGACTCTTTTGGACTCTCCCTCCACCCCCTGTAAGCATATTTTTTTTTTCTGCGTAAGATAGCCACATTGTTGACATCAACTTTAAAGTTAACTTGAAAAACTTTGTAAAGTGGTTTTTAAGGGTTGCCTATAAAGCAAAGTCTGGTTTCAACTTAGAGGCAGTTTCTAAGGCAGTGGAATTTCAAAACAACTTTATCTTAAGATTCTTCTCTGAAAGATGCTGAGGCTGAAATACATTTTTTCCCAATACATAACAGATAATCCAAATAGGACCCATCAAAAATCAGAAGGACAATTATGGGAGAATTACTAGGGAAACTTGCAAAATCTTCTGTAAGCAACTGTTTGGGATTCCCCTTAGATCCATTATAATTCTTTCCCACTTGTGGATACTGTGAGGCAACTAAAGGTACTGTGCATTGACTTAAGTATCTCAACAAAATATGAAAATACCCATCATTATACTGTATTGTTTCAAGGTCATGGCGGGGTGCAGCTGGGGTATAAGAGTTAGAAGAGAGCCCCAACTCCTGACTCTACCACTTGTCTACCATTTCACTGGAGTCTTGTGTTCAGTTCTGAGCACTGCAGTGTAAGGAAGACTCTGAAGAGTAGGAGAGGGTCTTGAGGAGGGCAGCCAGGATGGTGAAGAGACTCAGTCCATGTCCAGATGAGGATGAGTTGAAGGAACTAGGGAGGCTTTGAATGGAGAAGACAAGCATTAGGGGGCAACGTGGTAGCTACGTTCAAATATTTGAAGAGCTTTCATGTGAAGAAGATATTAGATGTTTCCTTTGGAACCAAAGGGCAAAACCAGAAACAATAGGTGTAAGCTGCTAAGCGGGAAATCTAAGCACGACGTCAGAACACCCCCATCACCAACTTCATCACAACAAGAGGCCTCCAGCAGTGGAAAGGGTTGTGTCAAGAAGTGATGGGTTCTCCTTGCCCAGAAGTCTTCAAGCAGAAGCCAGACTTCTCATGGGCTATATTATAGCGGGGAATTCCTGTTAGGTATGGGTTGGCCTAGGCCACGGAGGTGTCTTCTAATTCTCAGATTCTGTGATTTTGAGTTGTGTCTCCTTGGGCAAGTCACTTAATCTATGACTTTCCTCCTCTGTAAAATGGGGGAACAGTGCCTTAAATTCCTTATCTGTAAAAGGCGGGGGTGATATCTTCATTATCTATCTCATAGGATTATTGTGAGGATTAAGTGAGGTAACTGAAATCCCTTGTAAACCCTGAAGTCCATACAAATGTCAGTTATATGGTGATTCCTTTCCTCTTGTTTATAGCACAGCTTTTGATAACGTACAATCCTTTGCTTAATGAAAAAAAATCATCTTATAAAGGATGCTTTTAAAATTCTATAACTAGACTCTGGAACCAATTAACATTTCAAGGCTAAAAGTAAGAGAGAGCAAAATGTTTTCTG